GATTTGAGTGGCGTAGGCGGCGGAGACGGTCGAAAGCAATGGAGGTATTCGAGAACTGAACCCTAACCTCGTCTCTGGCGACCGATCTTTATCCTCCGCCGTCGACGGCGTCGTCCGATGCTCTCGCGCGATCTATACAGTGAGACCACCCGCGTGCTCTCTCTGTTGCTTTTAATCTTGTTTAGGTTTTGGGTCTGATGACGATTACTGTTTGTTTTAGATGAGTTTTATTGTAGCTAGAAATTTATGCACCGTAAAAACAATATATTTGGGTTTAAATGAGGAACAAGCAGCATAAATTCACTTCTTAACTGTTATCAAGGTAATGTGTTAAATAAGGTATCAATTCTTTCACGCATTTAAATGCCAATATAGACAGGATTCAGATCCTCTCCACTAGAAAAAGAAAGTAGTGGAGGGACCACTACTTAATCACAGCCATTGATTATGCACTAGGTGGTTATGATTTTTTTTCTCTGAGTGCAATACACGGGGGTATAGTGAGCGTTAGATTTAAAATGTACCATAAAATGTACCACAACCACCCACTGGATATTTACTGATTGAGATTGAAGTAGTGATCTCCACTACTTTTTTTGTAATGGAGGGGATCCAAATTGATATAGATAACCTAAGTTTTTTAAGGAAAAAGGCCAGAGCTTGAGATATATTGAGAGCAAACATAACTAGTACTATTGAGGATGGAGGGACGAGAACTAGTTAGAAATTTGCATACGGCCTTCTGCTTTTATGCGTTTATGCAGCTGCAGGTGATCAAGACATAGCTCTATGAGACGTGATGGACCCTTGCTAATATTTTATTTAGTCCGACTCTTTGAGCTGAAAATACCATCATTTCATCAATCCATATTTTAACAGCACTGTTACAAGCTTCCAGCCACATATTTCGTTCTTAGGCAAGGGACCGATGTCGCATATGATCTCCCGGTGGCAAGACCACACAAGTTTGATCGCTTCAGGGGTTCCAATTCCCGCACCTCTCGGATCTCCAGCAGGCCCAAACCTGCAGCGTCGGTGCAATCAATATACAACATCAGTTTTATCAAAATATCGTATCAGTGCAGTTGCTAACTGTAAAATGTGCGATGAGGCACGTGTCAGTGTTGCTCCTTCATTGCTATATGGTTGTTTATACTTCCTATCTGATTTTCAATATAGGATCCTCTATAGGATATCCCCACACACACACCCTAAAAAAACTGAAAATTGAAATCTTAACGATGGTTGAATACATATTCTACTAACCAGTGATTTTGGGGAGCTCCTGTTGTCCTTGCTCTCATACCAGCATATGTCGTCCCATTCACAGATCTCCCAAGAACTTCCTGGTGGAGATTGAAAGAATAAAACAAAAGAATTGCCTTTAGGTCATTCAACTTATTTGTTTGTTTTGAGGGAAATTTTGTTGGAAAAAGGGATTTCTGTCTCAGAAATCCTCTCTTAGCTGGTGGGATTTTGGAGAGGAGAAAAACAGACCCTACATTTGGCTTTGCTTACAGCCAAACGAAAAGCAAAATTTGGGAAAGTTCAGAGCTTTGGAGAATTCAGACCTCATCCGAATTCTAAAACCCCTACTTTCTCAGCCAAACAGCTCCTTAGATTTTATCAATGAATAGATGTGAAAATAGAGTGCAAAATAAACCGTGCTCAAGATTTTCAGTGATCTTGCCTGCAAGAATAATTGATCGTTCGATACAACTGCAGCAGTTAGATGAGCATGCATCCTCTCACAAGCATCCAAAACCATGTTAAGTTGATCTTGCTTGTACTGTGTAACAATCTGCCAAAGATACAAATTAGTGGAAGAAATAATAGTAGAGGATGCTATGATATATATAAATTAAATATCTTCATGATCTCAAACATGTTATCTTGGTGAAAAATATCTGAATGTAGAATTATCTCTTTCTTATACCTAACTCATGCATGAGATCTTACCTCACAAACCTATTTGGGATATAAATGAATAACATAATATGAATCGCTTATAAGTTCACCCTAGAAGATCATCGATTGGAATTAAGAGACCGGGAAAAAAAATTCATCTTCAACCATATTTTCAAGTAGAGACTAAGCACACTTCTTTCCCACTAAGAAGCACTACGGTGCACTTCGCCAATATTATGTATAAAACTGTCTTTTACAAGTCAGTACTTTACCTGGAAGGGGCCAAAAATTTCTTTTGTCACCAAAGCAAAATTGTTTTCTTTGAGGATCTCCTCAATGGGAACAAAAACAGCCGTAGGTTGCATAGCTCCATATATTTTTGGAATAGAATGATCTATTAATGGTTCTCCGCCAAAGAGTAACTTTGATCCTGGAATCTGAAGTAGGTTATTGATGTGTTCCATCATGCTTTCTGTTGTAACCTGTGGGTTTTGAAATTTGTCAGATGATAAGAGTCATAAGACTGTAAATCTCAATAGTGGATTTCCAAGAAGAGTGCATTTAATATTCTAGACATAGAGAGAGGATCCCGGGAAATTATATTTGTTGTCTTCAAAGGATTACTATTTTTTGTCTGTCACTTGAACGTGCCTCTCCTCTAGGATTTTCACTAACCTCCCTATTTTCTTTATAGAATAGTATAGATGCGGGAGATATTGGAAGGATTTGTAGATAAGACGGTGGAACTAAACCCCATAAATTTCATAATTCTTAATTACATTATCCACCAGAAGAGGGTTCAATAAAATAAAAGCAACTGCAAGCATTGTGTAAGATCAAGCAACCTACAATGAGGTAAGGCATAGAATTGGTAACAAAAATAAAGCTAAGGAAAGTTGACAAATTTCTTTATAGAAACTCTTAACGGTGATTAATGGCGAATAACATGCACTGTGAAAGCAACTTTGTGCTATTACTAGGTCATTTATTTCCCCAACTCATGTATAAAATCTGTATTGCAATCATTAATCTACTCCTCTATACTTAAGGAGGATCTAAAGAATCAATGTTTATGTCACAGTAATGTCACAGTAAATACTATAGCATGAACAATAAATCACATCGATGTTGCTACAGTAATTTACTATATCATAAATAGTAAATCAAATATGCTCCTCCATATATGAAGTTATTATTCATGCTACAGTCACTGTATCATAAACAGTAAAGCAAAAGCAAATCAATTATTAAAACTTGCATCCTCCTTTAAGTATAAAGGACTAGATATGATTTTTAAATCAACTGTATTAAAACTTGGATCATTCTTTAAGTATAGAGTAGATATGATTTCTAATTTTAAGCATACAATAATCAAATCAAATGTATTAAAACTTAGCGGAAGGCCAACTTAAAATGCAGTGCTTAAAAAAATAGTGGGCCGTGTTTTGCACGGAGTGCACCCTAGTATATTATGGTGTTGGAACTATCGCCAAGCTTAAGCTTCTAAATTATCTGGTTAACATTCTTCGCTTCTTAAATAAATCTGTACTCCTTACTCTTTATCCCCTACGATTATCCTAAATGATGTATCAAATAAATTGGCATGTTAGAAGTAACTGGATATTATAAATCGTTTCTATGACTAGAAATTCATGAGAGGAGTTTATACATAAAAAAGAATAGGTGTCCCATTTTTTTGTTTTGTTATGTCGCTGAAGGTTTTGATCTTTTTAATAATGATAATTGTCCTTTCCAGCTGCTGTAAAAATGTTTCTAAGGAAGCACACATTTAATTTCTTTTTCCACTCCTTTCTTGCAGATTGCAATATACATGTATTAAATCTTTTTTTTTTTTTTATGTTAGAAGTAACTGGATATTATAAATCGTTTCTATGACTAGAAATTCATGAGAGGAGTTTATACATAAAAAAGAATAGGTGTCCCATTTTTTTGTTTTGTTATGTCGCTGAAGGTTTTGATCTTTTTAATAATGATAATTGTCCTTTCCAGCTGCTGTAAAAATGTTTCTAAGGAAGCACACATTTAATTTCTTTTTCCACTCCTTTCTTGCAGATTGCAATATACATGTATTAAATCTTTTTTTTTTTTTTTGAGGAAAAGGATGGGCATATTAAATCAATATTTTGATCATGAAACTTGAAATTTTTAAATATGTCCTGAGAACCTTTTGCTCGAAAAATATAGAGGACTAGGGACGGTTCAATTCGATGTCTACCCTAAAAAGAAAAAAATAAAAATTTAAGCGCATCACCTATTTTATGTTAAATAAGAAAGCTATTATACTCGAAGCGAAATACAGACAACTTACAGTAAGAACAGGGCCTATGGTTAAATCTTGAAGTTTCCTTCTCTCTGCTAGACCTTTCATCATGGAGATGAGTTTAGTTGAATCCCAATTCTGCAAGAAAATTGGCTGTTTATAATGTGCATATAAAGAGGAAGGCTACATGCATTTGCAATTCATTATAGGACAAAATAACCATTCGCCTTAAAGTATAGGTGAACTCTCTAGTTGCCCCAAAAGTATCAATTTGTCCCCCTTAAACCATGTGTACGTGTTCAATGTGTTTATTTTATGAGCCTACAGTAAAATATCTAACAGATTGATGACATGTTAGTGTTTTCTTGCAACCATTGTATCTTTTGCAATCTAAAAAATAATTTTTTAAATTCATAAAAATGGTTAACAAGTGAAAAGTTTCGTGAGAGAGAGAGAGAAAGTGGTTAAAAGTTTTTTTTTACTTTAGGGGAAAAGGAGATAAACTGACAAAAACTCATGAAATGTACAAAAAAACACGAGTACATCATTAATCTGTTAAATATTTGACTGTGGACTCACAAAATAACCGCATTGAAACTATAAATATAGTTTAAGGGCAAGTAGGTAAATTGATATTTTAAGAGGCAACTTGGGAGTTCACCAATACTTCAAGGGGAAATGATCATTTTATCCTTCATTATACAATGTAGAAAACATTGCAACAAGGTATCTAAGAGAAGCATATCTCTTTGCATACAGAAATTGTATGCCAAGAGAAGCACGTCGATACTCAACAAAATTGTGAGATAACTCTACACTTCGTGCTTTATGATTATGATGGAACATATAAAAATAGGCTATAGATATTATACCTCATGCATAAATAACATTGACTGTGCTGAACACTTTTGACCACTGCAAGCATAGGCATCCTGATCGCACACCCATGCTACATACTCAACCTATCATCGAAATGAGGTTAAGGAAACGACTAAAGAAGTTAAAATTGGTCAATATAAACTGCCATGCAGGATGCAAACTTCAATATTGTAAAAGCTCAATACAATATAAATGCCAATTTAAATATTTGAATAGAACCTCCTGTACATCTGGACCCAGGATTTTCCAGCCAAAACCTGCATCTTCTAATTTAACCCGCCCTTTCAAATCAGCAGCCAGCTTTTCTGCTACTCGTGAGCTTCCAGTAAAGAGAGTCATTTGTGGTTTTGCCTATTAAATAAAACAAAATCAGAACTAGTTAGACCCCTCACACCCGAATGACTGGTATTATCTCTATACTACATTTAGTCGATTAAAATGAAAGAGCACCCAAACACTTGTTTTGTTATTAAGCTTACCTAAAATAAATTATATAGAACAATGGCACAAGAAGGGCTTCGTGTACGTTGAAATTTCAACAAGACAACATAGAGAAAACGGATTTTTTTTTCCTCTCCCAAACTCCCTACTGCCCACTTCCTATCCTACAAAAATCTATGGCTAAAGGACGTGATGGAGTTATAGTGAATACAGCCCAGGGACATATATAAACTCCCTCAATAATACATCGAGCCATAATTGATTAGAAGGCAGGATGGGAGGGATTACTGAAAGAAATAATCCATGTAAAAAATTAGTTATTCCAGGTAGACGAGAATGCCACAAGAATTGGAATAAGTAATCAAATTCGCTCAAATACACAGGGAGGTAATTCAATGATTGGGTGCAGATAGTCACATTTTGTGAAGTAAACAACCTTTAAGGAGAAAATCAGGGTGTTCTTTTCAATCAGCCTACTTGACAATAAACAATGTATTAGTAAGCTGAAATAACATAACCAAGTATGATATGCAAGACATTTCTCTCCATAACAGGAATTTATATGATGCTGGGTTCTTGGTTTCTTCTAGTATAGGAGGTCTTAGTTGCACAAAGTGCTTTGTTATAATTTGAAGCAGAAGATAAGGCAGGTGGGTGGATTGGATACGATCTATTCATGTGGAATATGAGAAAAAGGTAGACCTCTAAAAAGAAAAGGCATTATGCATGTAGGATGTATCAAGTAAACAGACCTCCATTAAAAGCTTGTTCATTGTTATACCATCAGAGTTGATGAAATCCACATCCTCCTTAGGCAGCCCACACTTATGTAGCAAACGAAGCATCTGCTCCATAACAATGCTTACCTGTAGTAACAATGTATAATATACAATCAAAAAGTGAGGAAACAAACAAACCATCTCAACAAGGAACTGATAAGATGGTCAAATGCATCCAAAGTAGAAAACAGCAAAGCAGCGGTAATGCATTTCATTTAAATGCTTACAACCCCCAAGTATATAGAACTAACAAAACTTCCTTGTATGCTAATAGACTTCAGTGAGTAGCAAAACCACATTTTACAGGACACTGTTTTATCTTCATCCTTTCTTCTTTTTTTGGTGAACTAGTGTGAACACCGTGCTTTGCACGGCATATATTTTTTTTCCGCTACAGTAATCCCGGTTTTTAATTGCTTCGGTAATTTTTTGAATTGCTAAAGTATCTCACCTCTGCTGCAGTATTCACGTGTGGTACAGTAATATTTTTCAAAGAACCCAGTGCCCAGTTTCATGTTTGCTACAGTAATAATGCTACTGTGGTATCTACTGTAGCATGAATAGTGAACATTGGGTTCTCCCATTTGTATAGAGGAGTAGAAGAGTAGGAGGGAGCGAAGCTCCAGCAACACTACTACCATATCAATAAGAGATTTTTCTTGCAACCCCGAAAAGAACATAGTACATATAACAGCAGTTCAACTTTACAAGCTAAATAGTTAATTCTCACAAAAATAGAGTAAATGAAGTTCTGACATAAAAAAAAGCATAGTGCTGTGCTTCAGTGCTTGACCCCCACGCCTAGTCGCCTTTGTTATTTATGATGATCATTCATATTTTAATTACCTTTGTATGTGTTTGTTACATGTCCTAACTCATAACATTATATTAAAAGCATACGTATTTACCTTGCTATCAACTTTCAAAACTGGCTTATTCCCCATGTAAAGTGCACCCATCAGCTGCAATAGTGGGATCTCCAGAGGAAAGTTAAAGGGAGTAATAATTGCAACCTGTGAGAACAAAAACAAACATCGATGTTTTAGTTTCTCTAGCACAGACACGAGTAAAATAAGAGTTTCCAGGATGTATAACAAAGTTACACTACATTATTAATAATTACTATTATGCAAGTTTTCTAATTTACCTCGCAACCAGAATATATTTTAGTCATTATTTCGCGATAAGTGCCAAATAGTGTCTTTTCCAATGTTAATGAACTCGAACTAAATTGGAAAAAATGATGACCAGAAGGCAATAACCTACTAGTGAACTAAGCGTCATATGCTTGAAGGAGCTGATACCTTCTGGAACATGGGTTTCACATATTTCATAGACTTAGTTGGTGAATATTTTTCACAACCATATCGTGAAGTATAACGTCAATAAAATTTAGATGAGAGTTTGGCTACATTATTCTGATTCCTCTTTTATAGAGCTGAACAATTTCTATTGTTCAACGGAGCATCAAAATAGTTATTTTTAATCTTACTATATTCCCTAATATACCTATCTTACCCTCTTCTATACTCTTTTTAGTTTTTACTTTTAGTAGACTACAATTATCTAATCCAATTATCCGAGTTGGAATCCAACATGACCGAAATAATTTAGTTTCAGCTCCAAATCAGAAATTACATAAAACCTCAATGACATTCCTCTGGGTAAGTTAACCGTGTAATTCGCAAAGAACAATACTACATTCTACAACATAAGTCAATAGACCCATAGCATGGCATCATGTGATTCCTTATCAGAGAACTAATTTCCTCTGAGACTTCTCCACCCTCAAAATGAAAGGAGAAAAAGGCGTCCTGAAAGATGCTATTGAATTACTGCATGCATGTGGGGCAAGCACATAAATAGAATTTATCTTACAAGATGGATCCCACAATTTCTAGGTATACCATGACATATTTCTCACAGACTGCAATCTTTGAACACATAATAGCTTTTTGTCATCTATCCCAATCAGGACTCATCCAAAAGCTAATTCTTTATTGCCAAGAAAACCCATGCATATTTAACATTTTATGCCAATTTAATGAACATATTAGCTTTAAGCGCTTAACAAAGTAAAGACTTACAGGACCATAAGGCCAGCGATAGCCATTACTCTGCTGTCCAAGATGGTTGCCAGGAACTGCAAATGACCGTGCCAGGAAGCGAACCTACAGATCAGAGATGAAAACTATAAGATAGGTGAAATGTAAGACTAAGCAAAGTTCAATAAACAAATACACATTTCTTACATATGAAATGTATTACCTCTTTAACCACGAATAAATAACTGAACTTAGAGTTCTCATACAAGCCCCATTATTTTTGCTCAACCTTTTTATCTTTCTAGGTAGGACCATAGGAGGGATGCTTGCATCAGAGGCCTATGCAACTCCAAGCTGTTTATGACTTACCATGTCAAATCAGAATGATATCGACATTAAGTTACTATCGACTTCAGAAACCAGTTACTGTATCTTCTTAAACATACATGAATATTTGGTATTTCTTAATGCTAAATGCTTATATGGATTATTTGGTCCTTTCAAGAATGTTAAGCCCCCAATTGAAAAGGGGGATAAGAAGGTATAAATATTGCTACACTTCTTCAACACGTCAAATACCCTAATTTTATTTGATACTAATTTGAACATTTTAAAACAAGACCGCTCTTATGCCTGAAATTTGGTTGCAAAAAAAATTAATAAAAAAAAGCTCATGACCAACATTTTTCCTCCAATTATTCCTTATATTTCCTTTAATATGCAAAAAGCCACACATAAATGCTACTAGGTAAGGTGCCATCAAATACATATTTGACATTATTTGTAGGTGACACGAACTATTGCACTGAAAAAATGGTTATAGGCATATTCAACTTTTCACTGCCTAGAAATTTAATAAAGTAACATTGGTCAGTTTATCTCCTTTTCCCCTAAAGTAAAAAAAACTTTTAACCACTTTCTCTCTCTCTCTCACGAAACTTTTCACTTGTTAACCATTTTTATGAATTTAAAAAATTATTTTTTAGATTGCAAAAGATACAATGGTTGCAAGAAAACACTAACATGTCATCAATCTGTTAGATATTTTACTGTAGGCTCATAAAATAAACACATTGAACACGTACACATGGTTTAAGGGGGACAAATTGATACTTTTGGGGCAACTAGAGAGTTCACCTATACTTTAAGGCGAATGGTTATTTTGTCCTATAATGAATTGCAAATGCATGTAGCCTTCCTCTTTATATGCACATTATAAACAGCCAATTTTCTTGCAGAATTGGGATTCAACTAAACTCATCTCCATGATGAAAGGTCTAGCAGAGAGAAGGAAACTTCAAGATTTAACCATAGGCCCTGTTCTTACTGTAAGTTGTCTGTATTTCGCTTCGAGTATAATAGCTTTCTTATTTAACATAAAATAGGTGATGCGCTTAAATTTTTATTTTTTTCTTTTTAGGGTAGACATCGAATTGAACCGTCCCTAGTCCTCTATATTTTTCGAGCAAAAGGTTCTCAGGACATATTTAAAAATTTCAAGTTTCATGATCAAAAAATATTTGAATTTAATATGCCCATACCATCCTTTTCCTCAAAAAAAAAAAAAAGATTTAATACATGTATATTGCAATCTGCAAGAAAGGAGTGGAAAAAGAAATTAAATGTGTGCTTCCTTAGAAACATTTTTACAGCAGCTGGAAAGGACAATTATCATTATTAAAAAGATCAAAACCTTCAGCGACATAACAAAACAAAAAAATGGGACACCTATTCTTTTTTATGTATAAACTCCTCTCATGAATTTCTAGTCATAGAAACGATTTATAATATCCAGTTACTTCTAACATGCCAATTTATTTGATACATCATTTAGGATAATCGTAGGGGATAAAGAGTACATTTCAGGAGTACAGATTTATTTAAGAAGCGAAGAATGTTAACCAGATAATTTAGAAGCTTAAGCTTGGCGATAGTTCCAACACCATAATATACTAGGGTGCACTCCGTGCAAAACACGGCCCACTATTTTTTTAAGCACTGCATTTTAAGTTGGCCTTCCGCTAAGTTTTAATACATTTGATTTGATTATTGTATGCTTAAAATTAGAAATCATATCTACTCTATACTTAAAGAATGATCCAAGTTTTAATACAGTTGATTTAAAAATCATATCTAGTCCTTTATACTTAAAGGAGGATGCAAGTTTTAATAATTGATTTGCTTTACTGTTTATGAGAAACTGACTGTAGCATGAATAGTAATTTCAAGTATGGAGGAGCAGATTTGATTCACGACACAGTAAATTACTGTAGCATAAGCAGTAACATCGATGTGATTTATTGTTCATGCTATAGTATTTACTGTGACATTACTGTGACATAAACATTGATTCTTTAGATCCTCCTTAAGTATAGAGGAGTAGATTAATGATTGCAATACAGATTTTATACATGAGTTGGGGAAATAAATGACCTAGTAATAGCACAAAGTTGCTTTCACAGTGCATGTTATTCGCCATTAATCACCGTTAAGAGTTTCTATAAAGAAATTTGTCAACTTTCCTTAGCTTTATTTTTGTTACCAATTCTATGCCTTGCCTCATTGTAGGTTGCTTGATCTTACACAATGCTTGCAGTTGCTTTTATTTTATTGAACCCTCTTCTGGTGGATAATGTAATTAAGAATTATGAAATTTATGGGGTTTAGTTCCACCGTCTTATCTACAAATCCTTCCAATATCTCCCGCATCTATACTATTCTATAAAGAAAATAGGGAGGTTAGTGAAAATCCTAGAGGAGAGGTACGTTCAAATGACAGACAAAAAATAGTAATCCTTTGAAGACAACAAATATAATTTCCCGGGATCCTCTCTCTATGTCTAGAATATTAAATGCACTCTTCTTGGAAATCCACTATTGAGATTTACAGTCTTATGACTCTTATCATCTGACAAATTTCAAAACCCACAGGTTACAACAGAAAGCATGATGGAACACATCAATAACCTACTTCAGATTCCAGGATCAAAGTTACTCTTTGGCGGAGAACCATTAATAGATCATTCTATTCCAAAAATATATGGAGCTATGCAACCTACGGCTGTTTTTGTTCCCATTGAGGAGATCCTCAAAGAAAACAATTTTGCTTTGGTGACAAAAGAAATTTTTGGCCCCTTCCAGGTAAAGTACTGACTTGTAAAAGACAGTTTTATACATAATATTGGCGAAGTGCACCGTAGTGCTTCTTAGTGGGAAAGAAGTGTGCTTAGTCTCTACTTGAAAATATGGTTGAAGATGAATTTTTTTTCCCGGTCTCTTAATTCCAATCGATGATCTTCTAGGGTGAACTTATAAGCGATTCATATTATGTTATTCATTTATATCCCAAATAGGTTTGTGAGGTAAGATCTCATGCATGAGTTAGGTATAAGAAAGAGATAATTCTACATTCAGATATTTTTCACCAAGATAACATGTTTGAGATCATGAAGATATTTAATTTATATATATCATAGCATCCTCTACTATTATTTCTTCCACTAATTTGTATCTTTGGCAGATTGTTACACAGTACAAGCAAGATCAACTTAACATGGTTTTGGATGCTTGTGAGAGGATGCATGCTCATCTAACTGCTGCAGTTGTATCGAACGATCAATTATTCTTGCAGGCAAGATCACTGAAAATCTTGAGCACGGTTTATTTTGCACTCTATTTTCACATCTATTCATTGATAAAATCTAAGGAGCTGTTTGGCTGAGAAAGTAGGGGTTTTAGAATTCGGATGAGGTCTGAATTCTCCAAAGCTCTGAACTTTCCCAAATTTTGCTTTTCGTTTGGCTGTAAGCAAAGCCAAATGTAGGGTCTGTTTTTCTCCTCTCCAAAATCCCACCAGCTAAGAGAGGATTTCTGAGACAGAAATCCCTTTTTCCAACAAAATTTCCCTCAAAACAAACAAATAAGTTGAATGACCTAAAGGCAATTCTTTTGTTTTATTCTTTCAATCTCCACCAGGAAGTTCTTGGGAGATCTGTGAATGGGACGACATATGCTGGTATGAGAGCAAGGACAACAGGAGCTCCCCAAAATCACTGGTTAGTAGAATATGTATTCAACCATCGTTAAGATTTCAATTTTCAGTTTTTTTAGGGTGTGTGTGTGGGGATATCCTATAGAGGATCCTATATTGAAAATCAGATAGGAAGTATAAACAACCATATAGCAATGAAGGAGCAACACTGACACGTGCCTCATCGCACATTTTACAGTTAGCAACTGCACTGATACGATATTTTGATAAAACTGATGTTGTATATTGATTGCACCGACGCTGCAGGTTTGGGCCTGCTGGAGATCCGAGAGGTGCGGGAATTGGAACCCCTGAAGCGATCAAACTTGTGTGGTCTTGCCACCGGGAGATCATATGCGACATCGGTCCCTTGCCTAAGAACGAAATATGTGGCTGGAAGCTTGTAACAGTGCTGTTAAAATATGGATTGATGAAATGATGGTATTTTCAGCTCAAAGAGTCGGACTAAATAAAATATTAGCAAGGGTCCATCACGTCTCATAGAGCTATGTCTTGATCACCTGCAGCTGCATAAACGCATAAAAGCAGAAGGCCGTATGCAAATTTCTAACTAGTTCTCGTCCCTCCATCCTCAATAGTACTAGTTATGTTTGCTCTCAATATATCTCAAGCTCTGGCCTTTTTCCTTAAAAAACTTAGGTTATCTATATCAATTTGGATCCCCTCCATTACAAAAAAAGTAGTGGAGATCACTACTTCAATCTCAATCAGTAAATATCCAGTGGGTGGTTGTGGTACATTTTATGGTACATTTTAAATCTAACGCTCACTATACCCCCGTGTATTGCACTCAGAGAAAAAAAATCATAACCACCTAGTGCATAATCAATGGCTGTGATTAAGTAGTGGTCCCTCCACTACTTTCTTTTTCTAGTGGAGAGGATCTGAATCCTGTCTATATTGGCATTTAAATGCGTGAAAGAATTGATACCTTATTTAACACATTACCTTGATAACAGTTAAGAAGTGAATTTATGCTGCTTGTTCCTCATTTAAACCCAAATATATTGTTTTTACGGTGCATAAATTTCTAGCTACAATAAAACTCATCTAAAACAAACAGTAATCGTCATCAGACCCAAAACCTAAACAAGATTAAAAGCAACAGAGAGAGCACGCGGGTGGTCTCACTGTATAGATCGCGCGAGAGCATCGGACGACGCCGTCGACGGCGGAGGATAAAGATCGGTCGCCAGAGACGAGGTTAGGGTTCAGTTCTCGAATACCTCCATTGCTTTCGACCGTCTCCGCCGCCTACGCCACTCAAATCTACGTCGGAATCTGCCTTCAAAATTCTTCTCCTCCTGCAAGCTCTGCCTTCACTATTACTATCACCACTTCTTCTCTTGAGCTTCTCACCAACGCTCATCATCTTCAGTCGAAGCTCACTATCTCTGGTCAGAGCTCCTCCTCCAACCTGAGCGGTGCCTGAACTGTTGTCATATATAGCCGTAGTTGCTTTGCTTTGTTGAGTTTTAACGCGCGCATCTTGCAGCTATACTTTTGTAATTGAAGGTATTTTGTTTTGGGGCATTAGATTTTTTTTTTTTGGCATTTTCGTTGGTGGCTAGTTGCAATTAGAGTCAATAACTTGAATCTCACTTATTGCTGGAAAGCAACTTAAAATCTCATAATTAACTTACGAGTCCGCCCATACAAGCAACTAAAAAAAGTTTCGGAAGTGAAGTATCAAGATACTTGTAATTAAGGGCTTGCAGAGAATGAAATAAAGATATGGGGGGCGTGGGCTAAAACCCAAAGAGCAAAAACGCTTGCACATACGCAAATGGCAACTTTAAGAAGTTCCAAATGGTATAATTTATGGAGGAAATAAATACTAAAATCCAAAGAGCTTATTGGCTGCTTTTTCTTTCTTTCTTTCTTTCTTTCTTCTTCGATAATCCATCCCGAAATTGAATCTAGGACGGTAAAAGTCATATTAAAATCTCTCAACCATCTAGATCACTCGTGGTGGAATTATTGGATGTTTGTAATAATCAATATCTATTGATGCAAATTAATCAAGTTGGTCCAATGGGCAAGTTTTCTTATATGAGGCCCACCTGACGGGGAAAAAAACCAAACAAGTTTTCAAAGGCCCATCCTAGCAAAAAGCCCGACACACAACTTCATCTCCTCCCTTGCTTATCCACTCACGGGTGAAAATCGTGAGAGTTGGATTAGGTGATATAATACCTAACCAACCCCCTTAATCTCCTCTAATCTTCACTAACAAACCCACCAACCACTTTAAAAACCCCTCTTCACATTTCTTTTCTCACGGGAAGAGAGAGAGAGAGAGAGAGAGAGAGAGAGAGGATAGTTTGGTCTTTTGTGGAGAAAGAGTTTTGCGTGGTGTTTACGCTTTCAGCATTAATTGGCAAACATTCTTTTCCTCAATATTATTACTTCATAATTATTATTATTTTTGATTTTTTCCCCACTCGTTACATATATATATTTTTCATAATTTTAATATTTGTAAGTTATCAATCTGATTAATACATATGATATTAGTGGATGACATTCGTAATAAATAGTTTGATGGCATTTGTTGTAAATAGTTGATGTCATTAGCTGTAAATATTTGATGGCACGAGCTATAAATAAATAAAATTCTATGACTAAATCATTTCGGTTTCTTGTTCCTTCACTCTACAGTTAACTATAGTACACATTAACTCACAAAGAGTACTGACGATTAAAGTTTGATGTTTTATATGATATCTTTTCTTACAGAGTATTTTTATACTACAAGTTGATTTCACAAGAGGCGTTTATTATTATTTTTATAGTCATTCTTAGTCTCATGTGGCAATCATATTGCAGGTTATAGAAATCATTAATTTTATTATTTCGGTTCATTAGTTAGTTATTCATAGAGTAGTATATATTTTATCATACACATAATTTGTCACACGTCACATATTATAGCATAAATGTAGATAAACAGTAGTTAACAATATCATTACATGTTGATTACACAACAATACATTATAAGTTAGTTAGATTCCATGCTAGTTGCATAGTATATCATCATGTCATATGGAATTAATTACATCAGATATACATTATATTCTATATTACATATTTTCTTTTGCATCGATAGCATATGTATTCATTCTTTTCCATGTCAAATGCTCATATCACTAAGAAAAAGATAGATTAATTAAATATGAATGACTATGATGCGTAGTGCCCCAAGTTTGTGTATGATCCTATGGAAAATTGTTGCGTGATCACATAGTTGTCTTTTGATAGAGTTGATTGTGCATGAAGATGACTTCCGTCAAAAATATGATTTATAGGCGTGCTTTTCATAGCATGACTATACCCTCGATATCGATATCCCGATATGAGGTTTTTCCTTGGCTATTACTATTATAGCATCGACTAGACGATGCACCCCTCTTGATTGGACATGTTCTGGGTCACAGTTATTTTTCATAATTTTTCGGAAGCCGTTCCACGGTAGCTCTGTGGTTAGTGCACAATATTTCATGCACAATCACTTAGAATAAACAGAAAAACATGGGGTTTATAAAGGAGAATTAGACAGAGAATATAATATGTATATAAATGGGCACCTGCGCATTCCTGATATCCTGAGTTATATATATATATATATATATATATATATATATATATATATATATATATATATATATATATATATATATATATATATATATATATATATATATAACTCAGGATATCAGGAATGCGCAGGTGCCCATTTATATACATATTATATTCTCTGTCTAATTCTCCTTTATAAACCCCATGTTTTTCTGTTTATTCTAAGTGATTGTGCATGAAATATTGTGCACTAACCACAGAGCTACCGTGGAACGGCTTCCGAAAAATTATGAAAAATAACTGTGACCCAGAACATGTCCAATCAAGAGGGGTGCATCGTCTAGTCGATGCTATAATAGTAATAGCCAAGGAAAAACCTCATATCGGGATATCGATATCGAGGGTATAGTCATGCTATGAAAAGCACGTCTATAAATCATATTTTTGACGGAAGTCATCTTCATGCACAATCAACTCTATCAAAAGACAACTATGTGATCACGCAACAATTTTCCATAGGATCATACACAAACTTGGGGCACTACGCATCATAGTCATTCATATTTAATTAATCTATCTTTTTCTTAGTGATATGAGCATTTGACATGGAAAAGAATGAATACATATGCTATCGATGCAAAAGAAAATATGTAATATAGAATATAATGTATATCTGATGTAATTAATTCCATATGACATGATGATATACTATGCAGCTAGCATGGAATCTAACTAACTTATAATGTATTGTTGTGTAATCAACCTGTAATGATATTGTTTTGTGTAATCAACATGTAATGATATTGTTAACTACTGTTTATCTACATTTATGCTATAATATGTGACGTGTGACAAATTATGTGTATGATAAAATATATACTACTCTATGAATAACTAACTAATGAACCGAAATAATAAAATTAATGATTTCTATAACCTGCAATATGATTGCCACATGAGACTAAGAATGACTATAAAAATAATAATAAACGCCTCTTGTGAAATCAACTTGTAGTATAAAAATACTCTGTAAGAAAAGATATCATATAAAACATCAAACTTTAATCGTCAGTACTCTTTGTGAGTTAATGTGTACTATAGTTAACTGTAGAGTGAAGGAACAAGAAACCGAAATGATTTAGTCATAGAATTTTATTTATTTATAGCTCGTGCCATCAATTATTTACAGCTAATGACATCAACTATTTACAACAAATGCCATCAAACTATTTATTACGAATGTCATCCACTAATATCATATGTATTAATCAGATTGATAACTTACAAATATTAAAATTATGAAAAATATATATATGTAACGAGTGGGGAAAAAATCAAAAATAATAATAATTATGAAGTAATAATATTGAGGAAAAGAATGTTTGCCAATTAATGCTGAAAGCGTAAACACCACGCAAAACTCTTTCTCCACAAAAGACCAAACTATCCTCTCTCTCTCTCTCTCTCTCTCTCTCTCTCTCTCTCTCTCTCTCTCTCTCTCTCTCTTCCCGTGAGAAAAGAAATGTGAAGAGGGGTTTTTAAAGTGGTTGGTGGGTTTGTTAGTGAAGATTAGAGGAGATTAAGGGGGTTGGTTAGGTATTATATCACCTAATCCAACTCTCACGATTTTCACCCGTGAGTGGATAAGCAAGGGAGGAGATGAAGTTGTGTGTCGGGCTTTTTGCTAGGATGGGCCTTTGAAAACTTGTTTGGTTTTTTTCCCCGTCAGGTGGGCCTCATATAAGAAAACTTGCCCATTGGACCAACTTGATTAATTTGCATCAATAGATATTGATTATTACAAACATCCAATAATTCCACCACGAGTGATCTAGATGGTTGAGAGATTTTAATATGACTTTTACCGTCCTAGATTCAATTTCGGGATGGATTATCGAAGAAGAAAGAGTTGTCCTATAATTTTTGCTGGTTTACACAATTAAGAATAAGTAGAATTTAATCTTGGGGTGTCATGAATGATTGTTGATGCTGCTGATTTGATTCACAATTTAAGAGTTAAGGTTTCATATAAGTGGGAAGACGTTCTTAGGTTTTATAAATTCGTGTGGAAACGTGCTTTGGGATTATTTGACTCTGAGCGGCTAATCTGCTCGTGCATGGTCGTTAGTTTTGGCGCCTAAGCTTTATCTCATCTTAAGTACAAGGTCCTATGGTGGGTCTTTGGTCAGCAAATCAATTCCTTTTGAATTGCTGAATGTAGGTCACTTATGTGTCTAAAGGTCCTTCATGTATTTTACTTTTTGTGAATCTATCGATAAATGTAGTTTAGTTGATTTGACGTTCCCCAACACTCAATTTTGTTCGATGAAGATTTTGTTTTATGGGATCTCATATTTGTCTTCATTATAAGTTTCTCACGAGAATAAATATGCCAAAGGTTACTTAAAGGTTTGCTTTTTCATGCAATTTTGATTGAGCTGATATTTTTAGAAACCAAACTTTTAGTCATAAACATATACACCACCTGGAAAACTCAGAAGAATCGTGAGAATCAATACCAAACATAGTAAATTCAAAGTCTTGTGTTTCAAACATTATTGTATATCGAAGGATAATACTTGCGTCTCCACAATTTAGGTAAGCAATTGTGAGGACTTTGCAGTTTATATCTTCTTGCCTTTGACGTAGCCAACTTTCATCGCCATACCAGTTTTTTTGTAAAAGGATTTCTTAAAACCTTGTATTGTAATATGTCTGCCCATTTATGCAGATGTGAACAATTGGTCTTGTACATTGGTTTTAAAAAGCCCTGCCGGCAGTTTTTTCGGCTTATTGTTGTAGATGCCGTAAGTTTTTTCTTCATGTGTATATTTTTTTTCCTATTTAACATATTTTGTATGCTGTCTTCAGATATTTTTAAATCCTAAGCATTGTTGATCGAGAAGAAGAATGTTAATTAGTTTTTATTGTATCGAAAATTTTGCAAATATCGAATTTATAAACTACGTTGCAAGAACAGAAAAAGAAAAGTCTTTGAATTTTGAGACCATCCTTTTCCACACCGTCGTTGCCCTAAACTCGACATGATTATAGATCAGAATTTATCGAGCTCGAATTTGAAAGCGAACTTCTATCCTTTTAAGCTTTTAAGAACAATTTATTTAAATAGGCTTCGATACCTTCCAAAGTTTTCCGCTGGTAACATGGCAAAAAAAAATCTCCTGCTAACTATAAGGTATTACTGTTCAGCAAAATCAGGTGTCTTGGCAAAAGCCCGCCCCTCAACACTAATATTTTCTCACTAGATCATGCAGCATTGTCAATTTAACCAAATAACTAACAATGATTTTGAGAGCATAAAAAATATAAAATTTGTTTTTGACTGATTTCAGTTGATTACCTCATTGATGGGCCCCTTAATTTTTGTTGTTGCTGGTGCATCATCATCTGACTTGTACACTTTATGATGGCTACAGATCAATCCACTCACCGCCTTTTGCTACTGTAGCTGCTGAAGAGATTTCAGTCTCTCAACCTGCAGAAGTGCTGAACTTGGGTAGGCTACTAGTTTCTTGTATCATGATTTTGGTTATGCACATTGTGACTGTTATGTATTTGCTATCACTTCTCTTATTCAAAACCCTCTATTTAAGCCTATGAACTATTACTTTGTGAAGCTACAAATTATTTAATGTGTAGTCTTGGTGGTATGACCATTGTGTTGGATATGAATTTGTGTTGGCCATGAAATCTGAAATATGTTTTCGGGATTGATTAAGGTCTTTAGGTACTAATATAATTGCATATAAAATATCAACTGAGGTTACTATAGTACGTCTTATAGCTCTCCCTCAAGCTGGAGCTTACTGGATGTGTATGCTCAACTTTCTCATGACCAAAGCAAATCAATCTCCATATATTTGGTTTGGTTATAAACAACAGGACTAATGCAATAGATGCCTGCTCAATTGTCACGTTATAGTCTCATAAGAAGGAATGATGCAAAACCAAGTTCACCAATAAATATTGTGCCCACATCACCATCTCATTAGTGGTATTGGCTGTTGCTCAGTATTCTGACTGCACTTAATTTATGAACTACATTCTACTTCTTCTCCAAACTATCAAGTTTCTTCCTAAAGATAAACCAGTATCCCATGGTGGATATGTATGTGATAGCATCAGTGGACCTCACTATGTGTAATGTCCACGAACATAGTGTGATATATTCAGCATGCAAGCATTCTTTAGACATTGAAATTTGAATTTCAGTACACCAATTGGCAATTCAATGATGAGATATAACTAAACAATAAAACTTACTAGATAAGACTTATCTGGTTGAGTACTCGGCAAATAATTCAGTTTATCCACAAGCCTGTAATATTTCCTATGTAAAGGATCTCCTTGGTTTGGCAGTAGTTTTATGTTTGAATATATAGGAGTGTCCTCTAACTTGGAATAGAATGGCGCAACCATAGTTTTCAGAATTGTTTTGTGATTAATATGGTTATATGCTAGGAAAATTTTCTTTCTATTCTCCTTATAAATAGTTCAGAACAAAAACCTGATGGTGATTATATTTAGTTCAGGGTAAATGGAAAGCATCTTCCAGTTGGAACTCAATAGTTGATCCCTTAAATGGATATCCGTTCATCAACGTTGCAGAAGTTCAGGAAGCAGAAATAAAGGTACATGACATGCAGCAAATGGTTCCTTAGCTATATAAGTTAACTCTATGAAAAGATTAAAATTAATTTTCAGTACTTTTTTTCCGTTTTATGTGGTCCTTGAAAAATAAGTTGGCACTTCAAACTATGATCTGTGTTCATTTTTCTTTGTTTTGGGGAATTCTAACTATTATCATACTTATCTGCAGCCATTTGTAGAGAGCTTGTCTAGCTGTCCAAAACATGGGCTGCATAACCCACTCAGATCCCCAGAAAGGTTTGTTCTCTTTATTCTTGTCAAAACCATGCATATGAGACTTTCAAGGATAAATATGTACACTGCTACAAAATTTTTAGGCATGTTTCATTGAACATTACATATGCGTGCATATTCACTGGCACAAGGGGAGAATTATTATATTATTGATTGCACAATCTCTATAGGTCATCAAATTGAAAATTGATGGTAAAGTCTTGTTCTCACAGTCAAAACAAAAGTTTTAGACCGAATAAAAAATGTTTGAAATTGGAAGTGTCCCCTTGGAAACAGAGGTTACACATTGAATATTTTCTACTAACGATATTTGCTTATAGTTAATATTTGTTCTCAAACCAACTGAAACATGTTCATATTTTCTTTTAGATGATAACTAGTAAGCTTATATCCTTAGACTTACATGGGTTATCACAGTCTTGCAACGACCATTAATTCAATACGGAAGTTCTATCAAAATTTTCCAAGTTTTTATCCTTCCTTTCCGTTCATCAACGTTGCAGAAGTTCAGGAAGCAGAAATAAAGGTACATGACATGCAGCAAATGGTTCCTTAGCTATATAAGTTAACTCTATGAAAAGATTAAAATTAATTTTCAGTACTTTTTTTCCGTTTTATGTGGTCCTTGAAAAATAAGTTGGCACTTCAAACTATGATCTGTGTTCATTTTTCTTTGTTTTGGGGAATTCTAACTATTATCATACTTATCTGCAGCCATTTGTAGAGAGCTTGTCTAGCTGTCCAAAACATGGGCTGCATAACCCACTCAGATCCCCAGAAAGGTTTGTTCTCTTTATTCTTGTCAAAACCATGCATATGAGACTTTCAAGGATAAATATGTACACTGCTACAAAATTTTTAGGCATGTTTCATTGAACATTACATATGCGTGCATATTCACTGGCACAAGGGGAGAATTATTATATTATTGATTGCACAATCTCTATAGGTCATCAAATTGAAAATTGATGGTAAAGTCTTGTTCTCACAGTCAAAACAAAAGTTTTAGACCGAATAAAAAATGTTTGAAATTGGAAGTGTCCCCTTGGAAACAGAGGTTACACATTGAATATTTTCTACTAACGATATTTGCTTATAGTTAATATTTGTTCTCAAACCAACTGAAACATGTTCATATTTTCTTTTAGATGATAACTAGTAAGCTTATATCCTTAGACTTACATGGGTTATCACAGTCTTGCAACGACCATTAATTCAATACGGAAGTTCTATCAAAATTTTCCAAGTTTTTATCCTTCCTTTCCGTATCTTTATGTATGCAAGCATAAAGTTAGTGAGAATGTGCATGATGTGTATTCGTTTCAGATCTTCATATTTGAACCTGTGAGTTTGTGTGAGTCTGTGACATCCTAATAGCATAAATATAAGAAATCTTGAGATGCACATTTTTAGCTGTTAATGGAAAATGAATGGTTACCATGCTAATGAGAACCATCATCTAGAGCTTAAAGACAGAGAACCAAAAAGACCTATCTTGATTGGGGAGAAAAGTTCAAGGTCTTTGGAGTTTTAAATTCTATTAAAATTTAGACATTTTATTACAGCTTGATGCATAAAAAATCACAAAACATTTTCGCTTTGATGTACAAGCTTTGTAGATTATGCAGGACAATATTAATCTTTCGATTGAATTGCAAACATGAAGTTTCCATGGATAAAGTAATATGACCTTTGGCTTATTCTCATAGGATTTCCAACTGCTTCTGCATAATGTTCGGATTAGATATTTGCTTATGTTGCCTGTCAAGCGTCATAATAAATCTTGGGACATATATACGCTTTCTCATTATTTTACTATGACATGTGTATTTGGTTTTCTTTTGAATCTACATGGTAATGCTTATGGATTTATGTTGTTATTTTGTTGATACAAGTTCATCTATATGCAACATCATTATTCTTACATTCTTTGTCTCAATCCTGTATATGGAATTGCTCCTCAGGCTGTGTAGTCAAATAACATTATGAGATGCATTGTATAATTGGGTTGGCAAACATATGAAAGATTATTGGCTCTGAAGCACCTCTGTCATCAGAATTCCTGAGCTTAGAGCATGTTATGTAATGTGGTCAGTTGAACATGTTACTTTTAATGACTTGCCAAGGTCAAATCTTGACTTTCATCTATGTCATAGACTCATAATCTGTTCTAATTAGGTTGTGATTTAATATTGGTTAATATCTTATTGGTTGTTTCTACTTTCTACAGAAATTCTTTCTTGAAAATCACGGCTGATAAATAATATTTTACAGATATCTTATGTTTGGAGAGATATCTGCAAAAGCGGCTCATATGCTTGGACAACCCGAGGTGCCATATTTCTTCAGAAAATTTTAATTTTTTCATGCTATGTTCAAACAAAAGGCGTTTTTAGCCTTCTCAGAAGAATATGCCTGTTATATTTTTGTATCACCTTATTTCTATGTCCTCTATGTTACAATACTCAACCATGTGTACAAATACCAGGTTGAAAAATTCTTCTCAAGGCTTATTCAGAGAGTTTCTCCAAAGAGTTATACTCAAGCTCTTGGTGAGGTCCAAGTTACACGAAAATTCCTGGAAAATTTTTCTGGAGACCAGGTACGGACCTGCTGCTTCTACGCTGCTTGAAATTATCATAGTTGATCTTCTTAAATGTGGTCAAGAAATTTGGTGCCATTAACACTGTGCTAAGAAGAGTTCTTAATGAACCATTTATGCACTTTTCATTTTGGCAGTTCTATTGGGTATTACGTGTCCAACTTAGGACTTCAAATATTGCATAATCAAGTGGCAGGCTAGCAAATTCTTTCTGAGTATTTGTATTTGCATTGCAGCAGTATTGCATACCAATGTTACTTTATTAAATTTCTAGGCAGTGAAAAGTTGAATATGCCTATAACCATTTTTTCAGTGCAATAGTTCGTGTCACCTACAAATAATGTCAAATATGTATTTGATGGCACCTTACCTAGTAGCATTTATGTGTGGCTTTTTGCATATTAAAGGAAATATAAGGAATAATTGGAGGAAAAATGTTGGTCATGAGCTTTTTTTTATTAATTTTTTTTGCAACCAAATTTCAGGCATAAGAGCGGTCTTGTTTTAAAATGTTCAAATTAGTATCAAATAAAATTAGGGTATTTGACGTGTTGAAGAAGTGTAGCAATATTTATACCTTCTTATCCCCCTTTTCAATTGGGGGCTTAACATTCTTGAAAGGACCAAATAATCCATATAAGCATTTAGCATTAAGAAATACCAAATATTCATGTATGTTTAAGAAGATACAGTAACTGGTTTCTGAAGTCGATAGTAACTTAATGTCGATATCATTCTGATTTGACATGGTAAGTCATAAACAGCTTGGAGTTGCATAGGCCTCTGATGCAAGCATCCCTCCTATGGTCCTACCTAGAAAGATAAAAAGGTTGAGCAAAAATAATGGGGCTTGTATGAGAACTCTAAGTTCAGTTATTTATTCGTGGTTAAAGAGGTAATACATTTCATATGTAAGAAATGTGTATTTGTTTATTGAACTTTGCTTAGTCTTACATTTCACCTATCTTATAGTTTTCATCTCTGATCTGTAGGTTCGCTTCCTGGCACGGTCATTTGCAGTTCCTGGCAACCATCTTGGACAGCAGAGTAATGGCTATCGCTGGCCTTATGGTCCTGTAAGTCTTTACTTTGTTAAGCGCTTAAAGCTAATATGTTCATTAAATTGGCATAAAATGTTAAATATGCATGGGTTTTCTTGGCAATAAAGAATTAGCTTTTGGATGAGTCCTGATTGGGATAGATGACAAAAAGCTATTATGTGTTCAAAGATTGCAGTCTGTGAGAAATATGTCATGGTATACCTAGAAATTGTGGGATCCATCTTGTAAGATAAATTCTATTTATGTGCTTGCCCCACATGCATGCAGTAATTCAATAGCATCTTTCAGGACGCCTTTTTCTCCTTCCATTTTGAGGGTGGAGAAGTCTCAGAGGAAATTAGTTCTCTGATAAGGAATCACATGATGCCATGCTATGGGTCTATTGACTTATGTTGTAGAATGTAGTATTGTTCTTTGCGAATTACACGGTTAACTTACCCAGAGGAATGTCATTGAGGTTTTATGTAATTTCTGATTTGGAGCTGAAACTAAATTATTTCGGTCATGTTGGATTCCAACTCGGATAATTGGATTAGATAATTGTAGTCTACTAAAAGTAAAAACTAAAAAGAGTATAGAAGAGGGTAAGATAGGTATATTAGGGAATATAGTAAGATTAAAAATAACTATTTTGATGCTCCGTTGAACAATAGAAATTGTTCAGCTCTATAAAAGAGGAATCAGAATAATGTAGCCAAACTCTCATCTAAATTTTATTGACGTTATACTTCACGATATGGTTGTGAAAAATATTCACCAACTAAGTCTATGAAATATGTGAAACCCATGTTCCAGAAGGTATCAGCTCCTTCAAGCATATGACGCTTAGTTCACTAGTAGGTTATTGCCTTCTGGTCATCATTTTTTCCAATTTAGTTCGAGTTCATTAACATTGGAAAAGACACTATTTGGCACTTATCGCGAAATAATGACTAAAATATATTCTGGTTGCGAGGTAAATTAGAAAACTTGCATAATAGTAATTATTAATAATGTAGTGTAACTTTGTTATACATCCTGGAAACTCTTATTTTACTCGTGTCTGTGCTAGAGAAACTAAAACATCGATGTTTGTTTTTGTTCTCACAGGTTGCAATTATTACTCCCTTTAACTTTCCTCTGGAGATCCCACTATTGCAGCTGATGGGTGCACTTTACATGGGGAATAAGCCAGTTTTGAAAGTTGATAGCAAGGTAAATACGTATGCTTTTAATATAATGTTATGAGTTAGGACATGTAACAAACACATACAAAGGTAATTAAAATATGAATGATCATCATAAATAACAAAGGCGACTAGGCGTGGGGGTCAAGCACTGAAGCACAGCACTATGCTTTTTTTTATGTCAGAACTTCATTTACTCTATTTTTGTGAGAATTAACTATTTAGCTTGTAAAGTTGAACTGCTGTTATATGTACTATGTTCTTTTCGGGGTTGCAAGAAAAATCTCTTATTGATATGGTAGTAGTGTTGCTGGAGCTTCGCTCCCTCCTACTCTTCTACTCCTCTATACAAATGGGAGAACCCAATGTTCACTATTCATGCTACAGTAGATACCACAGTAGCATTATTACTGTAGCAAACATGAAACTGGGCACTGGGTTCTTTGAAAAATATTACTGTACCACACGTGAATACTGCAGCAGAGGTGAGATACTTTAGCAATTCAAAAAATTACCGAAGCAATTAAAAACCGGGATTACTGTAGCGGAAAAAAAATATATGCCGTGCAAAGCACGGTGTTCACACTAGTTCACCAAAAAAAGAAGAAAGGATGAAGATAAAACAGTGTCCTGTAAAATGTGGTTTTGCTACTCACTGAAGTCTATTAGCATACAAGGAAGTTTTGTTAGTTCTATATACTTGGGGGTTGTAAGCATTTAAATGAAATGCATTACCGCTGCTTTGCTGTTTTCTACTTTGGATGCATTTGACCATCTTATCAGTTCCTTGTTGAGATGGTTTGTTTGTTTCCTCACTTTTTGATTGTATATTATACATTGTTACTACAGGTAAGCATTGTTATGGAGCAGATGCTTCGTTTGCTACATAAGTGTGGGCTGCCTAAGGAGGATGTGGATTTCATCAACTCTGATGGTATAACAATGAACAAGCTTTTA